TGCAAGGCACTTTTTTATTTCATGGAGAAACAAATGGAAATAATGACTTGACATGTATGCAGCATGGGCCTGAATAATGCTCTGAAAGTGCTGCTCAAATCCAGTGTTTTGATGAAGACCGCTATTGCTTCTCAAGGTAAGAACAATATCACGGAAACTTCTATCACTATACTCAATTGGTATAACAGCAGCAATCTCTTCCATTGTTGGAAGGTTGTGTGTGCGTCTACCGCTTCCTTCAATTAAACGCATTCTCATTGATGGGCTGATAATGATGTATGGCGCACTGACTTCTGTATGATCATTACCATCACTGACAGTGTTGCTGCTCTCATGGTTGCTCAATATCTCGTGTGCATGGCGATATATACGCGCAAAGGGGTTGCATTGGGCAAGCATGACCGAAAGCTCCCTAACGATCTCAGGATCAAGGTTGTTGTTTCGTGCTTGTCTTCTTTCAGCGGCAGAGGAAGGATCAAATATATACAGCTGGGCGTAGGAAGGCTCACTGCCTTCAACTGGAGTCAAGAGGCCTTGACGGTGGCAAAGTGCGCCATGGATCTGAAAGGCGTTTAATCCACCTCTATTGTTATTGTTGTTGCTGTTGTTGCTGACACGATCCTCAGGCGAAACAATATCGCAGCCCAACGAAGTAAAGGCAAAGGCAGCGTTGTACTGGCGAAGGTTGTCCTTAAAGTGACGGCCTTGAGTGTCCGTACGTTCGAGCAAGTCCTTCAAGTACTCAGGTGGATCAGGTAATAGTTGCAACTGGGCTGATCCTTGCTTGCAACATGACTCCCAGCTAGGATTTCTCATTGAAGATGCCTCTTGCCTTTCATCGATCCAGTGCAAGGCGTGGCAGTGTGAGCATTCCTTGTCCATACGTCCAAGGTCCAAAGGACGAAGGCGAGAAAGCTGCGAGATGTAGGCAGTAGGGATAGTCTGAGAAGGTTCTACTCTAGGTCTTCCCCTATGTCTTACTGGGCTGCCTTCCTGCTCTTCTTGTTCAGCTCGACGTCTGCGGCGTGATGCTGCAACTCTTTCTCTACACGCTTGGCAGGTGCAATAGCGTGAATCTGCTGGCAATGTCGCAACACAGGAGGAGCATATAGTTGTTCTAGAAGTATTGTTTTCCATTGTTCTAATGAGCGATAATGTTAGCAGACATATTCGAATCAAAAGAAATATTATTCATAACAAATTATTTCAAAATGTGTTATGTGTTATGTGTTATATATTAGGGTGATTCAGTTACTTTGTCATTCGTGACTCTTTTTTTTGTTGAACAAAACTTCATGTATGAATTTGAAGTATTTTCTCTTCGCGTTTTTCTCTTTTTTTCTTTTGTTTGGGGTGTTTTGACCATGTTACAAATGTATGACATTCCAACCTGGACTGAAGAGAATCGCACATTGCTAGACACTCTAAGTCAAGCAAAAGTGTCTCCCGAGATTTCAAATTCACTTCAACAACAACTGTATATGAATAAGCACAAGTTCCTTGGATTACTGGACAATCAACCCAAGAATACTTCTCACAGAGCTGATCTCAATGCAAGCAAGTGTTAAGACCCAAAAACAATCTTTTGATTAACCAAATTTTTGTTTATTATAGACAAGGCATATATCAACAGAGTCTCACATACCGTCAGCAAAGATTTCGTTACGAAAGCACTATTCTTATCCGACCAGCTCGATATCAATGAACACGTTGCAGCAACGCTTTTGATGAATGGAATAACACAAGCATCCAATTTCAACTGTGATCCAATCGATACGGCAGTTCTTCTTTTTCACGCAGAACGTGGATACCTCTTGGCGTCCCTGGAAGCCATCTTGAGGTTTTCAAATGATGCTTCTATTAGTGAACAGGTTCGATCTGTTTGCTATAGCTTTGCAACTGAAATAATGTCTGAAAGTGTTCCTCTGGGAAACAATAAGACAGGCACATTTACAACAAAGCTTCTTTCAACACTAGAAAACTTGACTAAAGCCATCACAGCATTATACAACACAGGCACAATGGGTGGACAAATGCCAGCAGCTGGAAGTGGAAAACTAGGAGAGGATATTGCCTTTATTCGTATAGAAAGACTTGGCGATGAACGTGTATCGATTGTTCAAATCTTATACCACTTGGCTTCCATTTTCAGCTTGGACGCTCAATCTAAGTTGACCATGCTTGAAATGTTAGAAAAGGCACAACTGACTGACCCAGCAACATCATACATGGTCACCACCATGCTTGCAGCGATATCATATAGCAATCAGACTGAAGGCGACGAACCGGACCAAAACGTGTTGAGCTTTGCCAAATCATTCCATAAACGAATCATGACACATGGATCCGACGTTCCTGCCATTAAAGCTGTCATTGTTCTTCAATGGGTTCTTTACTTAACGAATCCAAGAAGATCAGGTGCATTCACTAACGGACTAAACGCGATCACTAACGAAACAGAAGCTCAACAGCTCGTCGAAGCAGCGATAGATGCAAACGCTTTCAAGTTTTTGCAACAGTACATGTTATATTTCCAACAGTCAGGAGGATTTGACAATGGTGCTTTTGACGACCTTACGAATGTAGAAGAGACTTCACAAACTCACGGCAGAATTGATTATCGTCAATACAAAATTGAAATTCGAAGCGAATTTCAAACATGTGTCATACATGAACTCAAGACGCTCGCAAATACAATCATTCGACAACTATTTGGTGTCTTGCAGAGCCTCAAATACAAGGAAGAGGATTCTACTTTGGTCAATACCATGACCTATTCTTCAGAAGCCATACAGACTAATGAGACGACGAGCCCTGTACAAATCCGTGATCTGGAGTATTTCTTGAGCTTTTTAGCCAGTGTGTATACAGGGCCTATTGAAGGTGGGCTTGTCTTTTGGAAACGCGATGACGGATTGAATCACTTCGTTCGATGGCTGGTTGACATCAAGGTGCAATCGACCGTGTGTGCTGCCTTTGACTTTTTTGGCTCAATATCGACTGGAGCGACTTGTGCTGCAGGTACACTGAGCTTGTTCAGAGGTAAAGCCGACACCGACTTGGGCTCTGGCTCGCTATTTACATGGAAAAAGCCACTGATGGCATTGGAGTACTATGCCAATTTGTTATCTAATACAACAGACGACCTACCTCGTACGATCCCTGTAGAAGAAGAGATGGTATTGCTTAAATTTCTGAATATCCTAAAGCAAACTGTGCAGTATAGCGAAGAAGCTAGATACGCATTTTGGTACAACAATGAAGCCTACTGCCGAAGCAATTTAGAAACTATTATCAAACGTCCTACTTCAGCCTATCTTAGAGCTGCTGTGTTTGACGTTATCTCAGCCTTCTGCTCTCACTGGGGCGGTGGAGTGAATGGTATCGGAAGAGATATTTCGCTTCAATGGTGGCGTGAGCTTGTAGATAGCGACTTACTTCTTCCAGCAAGCAATCCTGTATCAGGAGAAACAGAAAAGGCTACATCAGTAAATCAGCCAGCAACACTTTTACAAGAAATTCAAACCGAATTGGAAAGACATCGCTACACAGAGACACTGGCACTTGTGCATTTGATAGGGTCATCGATACACTCCCTGAGCGATCGTCAGAAGCTGCTTTCAGGATTTTCGAATATGGATTTTTATATTCCCTTAGGACAACACACGAACGGTGAAACTGTTGGCGCAACACCCTATATATCACTTGTATTGGATACTGTATTGACTGGACTTGGAAGTGACAAGGAGGAGCATACGAGAATGAAGTGGAAGGTGACGGAGGCATGTCTTGTGGTAATAGAGAATAGTGTAAATTCGTTTTCAGATATTGCATGCAAGCCAGGTCTACAAGAAGGGCTAGAAGACAAGAGCCATCCTAACGAAATAGAACGCGTCCTGCTTTCATATCTGACGCACCCAGGCTTCCAGGTACTCATTCGTATCCTTTCTGGTGGCAAGATTACAAATGAATTGTTTGATATTGTTCAAAATTGTTCTAAAGAAGATAAAAAGAACACATCAAGCACATCTTATCGCAGAAACTGTTTACTCAAATCGTTGCGCATACTCCATGACGTGCTAAAATTACAGCCTATCGTCTGTAATGTTCTCATACCTCATATCGGCAAGACTGCAAAAAAGAAAGCATCCTCAGAATTTCAGCTCGGTCACCTCTCTTTCCCTCCTATACCTTCTGTTTCAAACCTTGGACAGCTCATTTTGTTCCGTAACGACATTCTTGCCCAGATTGCCCTGTTTATCAATTATGAAGATGATGAGGAGATATGTTTAGCTAGCACCAAGCTTTTACATCAACTCTCTGTTGATTTGCGAGAACCTCGTCAGACCAGCACGCCAACTGACAAGCTCACGTCATTGACGCTTTATAATCCAATGACAAAAGCAGGAGCCAACATCACATCCATCTTGAGCGCTTCTAAACTAGCCGAGGATATCATCTTTTGTATTAGCGAAAGATTGGGCATTAACGTTCCTGAAAAGATGACGTGTGATGACTATGAAATGGATATCAATCTTATCCCATTTTGGAAGGCAGAAGGTATTTTGAACAACATCTATGACTATCCAGGCATTGTCGAAACTCCAGCTCTTTCTTCTGTACACCTTGCTATCTTGGACTTACTTTTGGAAAATGCTCATCCAGACATAAGCTCGCCCACTCTAACGGAGTACCTGCTAGGCTACGACTTATCTAATCCTAGGATGCCAGTGATTCAAGAGACACAAAACAATCGCGCTTCTCTCATCTGTTTCCACACAATCCTGAAAATGCTTCAACAAGGTGTCGATTCTGGCTTGACGACCCATGACTCGATGATGATTGATTCTGTAGAACCCACACCGCTCTTGATCGACACACATCCTCTCTTGGCTGAAAAGTGCTACAAGCTTATCTATAGACTATGCGCTAAGAAATCGATATCTTCATCTACCATGCGTTACTTACGAAACACTGGAAACTTTTTCTACAAGCAATTTGAAGCCATGTCGAGTCGCTTGGAGACTGATCTCTATGTTGAATCCTGTCCATTCTCTGGAACGATCCGTTGTGCTGATGGTACCGAAATCAGGTCCGACTTCTTCAGGGTACGGGCCAAATTGCACCAGAGGGCCTGGTTACTTCAGTTGATCGCTTTAGAACTACATGCAACAACACACATGAAACAAAAGGCTAATATCAATCGCCTACTTGAACTACTCTATGGACGTTCACCAGACACAGATATGAACATGCACGAGCAACAGGATATCCCTCTCTTCTCTCAGGGTTCATTCCATACACTCCAGCAGCCTTTAGTGAAGATGCTTGAGTTTGTCAGTTCTCTTGAATTTGTCTGGCAAGATGACCTTGTGAAGGATGGACCGATATCAGAAATCAACTACTTTAGACAGTTTATTCCTGGAGACTTTTACGTGACAAATGATGATGGAGTCCAGTTGTATGACATTCGTGGTATCTATGGATATTTGCGATTAGTCCAAATTGCAGAATACGCCAATAGTCCAGACACAGAGTTGATCGAAAAGGAAATGGGTGATATTCTTGCAGCCTGTATGTCTCTCAATCGAAGCAAGGAAATCACTCATGCAAGACGACATTGTATGAAGGCTTGGAAACAAGTGATCCATATCTCGCTTTTGGAATGCTTTGATCTTTTGAACACGCAAGAAAGAGAAAAGATCATATACGAACTTCTGGCCATGGTGCTCTCAAAGATATTGAATGCGCAAAATTATGATCCAGATATGGTCAAAAGCATGAGTGAAGTGGCATTGGCTTTGATCAACAGGCTTCGAAAAGAAAAGGACTCGCGTACGATTGCTCAACTGCCGGTAGATAAGCTTCGACATGCATTTAATGGAATCATTGAGTGTATTTGCCAACAGAACATTAAAACGACTGTGCGAGGCGACTTATATACAACATTAACCAATCTGCTGCTGTATATCAACAGATACAAGCGAGATGAATCGTATATAGAGCTTGAAAAGTATATGGTCAATGTTGTCGTTTCTTACAAGTCTGGGCTTCTTGATACCCTATGTAAAGATGCTATTGATGGATTAGACATTTGGAAGACGACAGCGTTCATTGCGATTGATGCGTTAAATACAATGACCCTTCGGGCTGGTAGTGATGTCGTTCAAACGTATCTCTTGAATAAGAATTTCTTACAGTACACCATTGATATGCTCAAGTATGACGACTCAGCTTTGGTTCATATATTAGAATCTATTGATGGTAAGTTAAAGTTGAAAGAATCGACATATACTAACAATTTGTACAGCATCACAGTTGCCACTCTATATCTTTGAAGCCAGAATGTCTATCCTGCTTCGTCTTGCTATGAATCCTGATGGTGCTGAGCTCTTGTTTGATAATCAAATCTTTGAAGTACTTGGCCAAAGCCTCTTTATGAGAGTAGAGCAACAAAACCCTGCATCTATACAGGCCAACATAAGCACATCGGGTGAACTTTTAGATCGATACCAGCGAGTGATGCTACCGACGTTGAAGCTCATTGTTGCCATTCTTTCTACTTTTGGTAAAAAGAATGCCAAAGTTATATCAAAGGT